ATCAAATTTGATCTACCTATTCATCGACAATATAAAAGTACACGTTGATTTCCGACGATGGCGGAAGTGCTCGGGCCTGACTCCTCTCGCTCCTCCTGCAGCCTCTCTGCTCGTGCACTTCGTGAATCGATCTAGGCTCCGCCCCTCTCCTGCGCTTCCTTAGGTCGCGATAGATATCAAAAAGTCCTTATATGGAAGGAAACTTCCCAGATTCCTGAATGGTGGGAGTGATCGGCGGGTCCCACCCCGCATTCCAGACGTGCACTGGACGAGACGAGCTGTCGCACTTCTTTGACTCACATCGGGTTAAGGGGGGGGGGAGTTTGGAGGAGCTAAAGTGAAGCACAATGAGCTGCTGAGGTGACGTCATGTGGCTGCTGTGCGGGTTTTAGATAACACGTTCTGTCAGGATTACTCAAACTCATCCAGAATGATGTCTTCTGTTCCAGATGTTGAGCATGACGCATCAGTGGAGAGGAGACAGATGTGATGTCACAACATCTTTTAGTTCATTATCTCCATTGATTTTAACTGCAGGACTGGTCTGTACCATGTTCCTGCTTCATCACTTTCAAGTTATATATCAAATATATTTTCTTTTTTAAAACTTAAAAGCCAGGAGATTAAACCGCTGAAAGAATAAAAATGCAACATTCCCAACATGAACATCTGGAGAAATCATCTAAATCTTTTATTGTATTTCTACATTTGTTTTCATTCTCAAACATATCAACAGGAAGCCATCGTCGCTGTGACACACACACCCGGCTGCTTTTCCAGGGCAGCTGTGTGATCTAGTTAAGGACAATGGTGCTGTTGGTCAAAGAGATGCCATGGAGCTTTTTGAAATGTCAGGAAAACTTGGCAAACGTGCAAATCTGACATGTGTCCCAGCTGCTTCCTCTCCACTGAGCATTCTCCTGGTTTGTTCAACAAGTAAACTTTGATTTCTGCAGGGAACTCATGACGGGTGTGATTTTGAGGCACAGCATGATTGAGGTTATGTAACGTCTGACAGAGAGGTCTAGAGCTGGATGTCAAACACAGCGTTATTAGAATTAAATATAGGAAGGATGTCCTCTGATAGCAAATCATCCTCTAAAAAGATGAGGGCATTTTGTGACGTCTTCGTGTTTCAGCCATTGTTCATTTTAACTAGAGCTAAAATGATTCACAACAAATCAATAAAAAAATGAATGGCAGTAGAGTCCAACTAACACTAAGGCCCAACAGTCCTATTGATTTGTTGACTTTTAGTAACTTTTCATAATTCTTCAAGAAAACAAGAGCTAATTATTTCCCATTTCTCCCTTTTTTTAAATGTGAAAAGTTTTGATGCTTTTGATTTTAATCACATATGATTATAAAAATAGTGGAAACTATTGGGTTTCTCTACAATACTGTGTGGTCTGGACTTCATAAGTGCCTTGAGATAATAATTTTGTGATTTGGTAATACACAAATAAAATGGTTTGATTAAAAAACAAGTTGAAGAATCAAATTGAGCTCTGGGAGAATGTATTTGCTTATATTTGAATTGAATAGAACTAGAATGATAGCCCTGCCATTGTATGTCTCCACCAACCGATGCAGTTTCATTCTCTCCAGGTGTTCCTGACATATTGCATTCACAATAATATGAAGTCACTGTGACCTTTAACCTTTGACCATTGAAATTTAATCAGTTAATGGAGTTCAAGTGACGACTGGTCAAAATTTGAAGAAATTCCCTAGAGGCAGAGTTGAGACATAATGTTCATGAGGCCAGAACATGTTTTGTGAGGCCATTGTGACTTTGACCTTTGACCACCCCAAAAAATCTGTTCACCCATGAGTCCAAAAGTCATTGGATGAAACAAAATGAAAATAATAACTATATTTGCAGCTCTTATAGCAACATCAGCAGACATCAATGAAACGCTTTGGCCTGACGTAGCGTCGTGCTGAGTTTCAACCCTTCATGACACACGGTTGCCTATCAATCATTCTCCAGACATGCTGGGATGTAAAATCGTGCAGACGGTAACAGTGACGTGAGCCCAGGTGTCTCACCTCAGCCTCTGACTGTTTGGTCATGAAAACACATGCATTTCTTACCTTTAATAGACTATAATTACATCATACAGGTGTGCAGTGGAAGGCTGTTTCAAAGTGAGAGTGAACACGCCCTGAGGAGCGTCCATTACTCATTCAACTGCAATAAGATGAGATAAGCTCACAGCGTCATGGCAGGAAGTGCTGCTGCTAACGACACTCCTGAGTCTATCAAACTGTCAGACATGTAGAGACTCATATACAATCTCTGTTGAGGCAGATAGTGCTGATAAAAAATGTCACTTGTGGACTCACAAGACTGTCTTTACTGAGGGGAAATTTCCAGACTTCCACCAATGGATGATCTGAATGTTTAGTATGATCGTTTAATTTAAAAATACATGACTTCAT